TGGCCTCACTTTTGCCGCCCTTTGCCTCGAAAGCCCCCCCCCCCCCCCCCCGCCGCAGCACGCCCCAGGCGGAGCTGCTGCCCTCACTCTTCCGCGGCACGCAGCGCTGCTTTGTGCGGTGCAGCCGCTGCGGCAACGTCACCCACACCGACGACACCTTCCAGGAACCTCAAGCCGTTAGAACGGAACACGGGTCCTTGTCAGCCAGCCAGCGCTCGAGAGGAGTGCACTCCGCTGTATTCGTCTCCCTCGTACTCACGCGGTGCTCCGAGTACGCGGCACGAGGCCGCCCTCCCGCCCTGAGGTTGGCGTATTCCCCACGTGGGCTGCCCATATCTCCCCATATCTCCCCATATCTCCCGCCCCGAGGTTGGCGTGCTCCCCATGTAGGACCTCAAGCTGTCGGTCGAGAGGCACGAGCAGGGTGCAGATGCCGACGGCGCGCGAGAGACGCCTCACCTCACATAAACGCACAACCCCGGGCCCGACATCGCACAGAGACAGTCACGCAACACGGGGTCCCAGGGAAGGCGAGCAAAACCCTTCTCCGTTCTCGCGCGCGCTAGACGCCGACTCACCTCACACACCCGCAGTCGATCCGCGATGACCGCTTTAGACGAGATCAGAGCCCTCCCACACACCTCACACACACCTCACACCCATTCTCTCTCACACACACACCTCCCACACACCTCCGCAGCGCCGCCTAGAACGCACCACGCCCGCCTCTGCAGGCGAGAGGCCAGAGCCCGCATGGCGCGGCTCAGCGGGCCGCACCCTCGCCCCCGCCGCCGCCGAAGCCGCTGCCACGACCAGCTCTGCCGCTGTTGCTTCTCCCACAGCTGGTGACGGCGGCGGCGGTGACAGCGGCGGCGGCGGCGGCGGCGGCGGCGGCGGCGGTGACAGCGGCGGCGGCGGCGGCGGCGGCGGCGGCGGCGGCGGCGGGGGCGGGGGCGGGGGCGGTGGTAGCGAAGTCCCCCACGTGCGGGGCGCGCTCGAGGCGCTGCTCAAACCTGAGCGTCTGCGCGGCGCCGACCAGTACTATTGCGACCGCTGCGCGTGCAAGGTGGACGCTGCTCTCGGCCGATCTCGGCCGATCTCGGCTGATCTCGGCCGATCTCAGCCAGGTGGACGCTGATCTCGGCCAATCTCGGCCGATCTCGGCTGATCTCGGCCGATCTCGGCCAGGTGGACGCTGAGCGCGGCGTCTCCTTCCGCCGGCTGCCACGTGTGCTCGCGATACAGCTGAAGCGGTTCCGGTGCGCCCCTCCGCTGACTTCGCCTGCTGCATCTCACTCCCCTGCTTTGCTTACCGCGGCGACAGACACACACCGACAGACACAGCGTTGCTCTGCCTCGTTTCGGTCTGCTCAGATCCTGTTTCTGGTGTGCTTTTGCCTCGTCACCGCCGCCGCACTCACTCCTACTGTCCGCTGCCCTCGCCGCCGCCGCGTCTCAGGTATGACTTTCGGCTTGGCCAGCGGCTCAAGGTGTACACACACTCAAACACACTCACACCGCTCGCCTATGCGCACTGGCCCTTGGAATCTTTCTTTTTCCCGAGGCCGGCGCTTCTCTCCCTGCGTCGCGCCTCCGCCTCTAGCCACTCCCTAAAGGTGGTCGCGACGCGTCGCAGCCGCCTGGCCCTTTCCATGTCCCTCCTCATCGCCTCTGTGGTGCCCATCTCGTCGTGCCGCACCCACGAGTCCTCCCAATGCCGCGGGGCTCCTGTCGTCTAGACGTGGAGTTGCGAGGGCTGCCCGGCCCTCGCCCCACCACCTCGTGTGTGTGGAGAAGCTCACCCAAGCTTGCCCACCTCAAGGTGAACAGCCTCTTCACCTTCCCGACGACGATCGACATGGCGGAGTACGTGCGCCCAATTCCGGGCGTTTCGCCGCCGGGGAAGGCAACGTCAGCCGACGTCACGCCGCGGGGAAACCTGGAGGCGACGGCGGAGGAGACGGCGGGGGGGGTGTCGGCGGGGGAGGCGATGGCGGATTCGCCGGCTGGGGACCCAATGGCGGTGGACTCCACACCGCCTACGGCGCCTCTGGCCGAGGGCATGAGCGTCGCCCATCCAGAGACGGAGACGGCATGCAGCGGGCCGTTGCCATACGAGCTGTACGCGGTGCTCGTGCACTCCGGCTCCGCCTCGTTCGGCCACTACTACGCTCTCATCAAGGACTTGGGCCAAGGCGACGCTGCGGGCTCAGCAGGCGGCGGCGACGGGCGCGGCGAGTGGCACGAGTTCAACGACGCATATGTGCGACCGATCAAGGAGTCGGAGCTACGGACGAAGGCCTTTGGCGGCGAGGGTGGCGGGTACAGCGGAAGCTCCTCCGCGTACATGCTCCTCTACCGCGCAGTGGGCGCGTGTGATGCTTCCAGCGGCGAGGCGGCCGTCGATGCGTCCGACTCCATCGCCCAGGCCGTCTCTCAACACGCGCTGCCGCTCGCTGCGCCCGTCGCCGCCACGCCCGCCGCCGCCGCGCCCGCCGCCGCCAGCAGCTGCGGAGATGGCAGCTGCTCGTCCCGGCTGGATTCGTCCCCGACAAAGCGGCTCCGGCTGACGCCGGACTCTGAGGCCCCGGCGATGGCGCTTGGTGCGGCGGGCTCTTCAGTTGCTGATGACAGCGACGATAACCCGTACACGAGGATGGGATTCTGAGCGCCAGAGCGGTCGAACGCGAGGTCGAGCTGCAGGATGTATTCTGTTTAGAGAACGCTACGGTGTGCCGTGGCATCGTCTCTCGTGCGAGGTGCGCGATCGATTGGAGAAGTGATTGGAGGTGACGACGGAGCCACGTGTGAGACGTGCACGGGCGGGGTAGATGTGCGGGCCCGCGCCCGAGAAATTATGTAAGAAGTGGAACCAGAAGTGAAGGGGGGGGCGGGGGGGGGGGCGAGCGGGCGGCGCCTGAGGCGCCTGAGGTGCATTGGCGTTATGGCGACCACGTGGTAGTAGAGAGCAGGGCTGCAGGGGCTCACGTGGACGCCGCCGCACGCGCCGCGAGACCCAGACCGCGGCGGAGAGGCAGAAGGCGGAGCGCCGCGCCAAGGCATTCTGCCACCGCGCCGCGGTCAACGGGGTGGAGAGCGGGGTCCCGGAGGATGGGAGGAAGGAGACTGGGTAGCGTTCGAGTGGAAGATGGACGAGGGGGAGCTCTTTCACGAATGCCTCGCCACGCGGGGCGAGGCGGGAAGGCCATCATTCTGCCTGATTTCGAGCCCGGACGCCTGTTCTCAGGCACCAAAAGACCACGACGCGGGTGATCATGACCTCGCTGACCCTGCCATATGCGACGTCGGCGCTCGAGAGCTCGCTCCCAGGATCAGATCTGAAGCCTGCCATGGACGCGCACACGGCCAGCCTGGACGCTTACTGCCGTTACGAAGGGGCGCCGGCGGGCCACATTGTAAAGTACTGGGAGAGAGAGAAAAGGGAGACCAGTAAGCTAAAAGTACATACATACGTACAGAGAGAGAGAACGCGGGTTCCGTGGTCAACGGGCGTTCGACCACGCCACCGGCCAAGGCTACGTCAAGTCACAGCGTGGCCACTACCATGATGGGATCTTCACCAAACGAAACAAGTTCAACCTGCTTCTCTCCACGAGACATTCGGCGGCGGCTTCTCGCCGCCAGCAGTTGCAAAGATCAACCGCCTTGCGCGCAAGGCTCAACGCTCGGGCGTTGACCGCACCGCGTACCCTCCCCACTCCCGCCTCTCGTTTGTGTCACACCACGCGGAACGTATCTCCATCGCTTCGGTGAAGGGGGTGAACCGCGCCATCCTTGATCGTCGTGCAAAGCTCGCTTCCGAGCTCTCACGCCGCGCGTAGGGCCCTTAGGGGCCTAGAGAACACAACCCCCTCTCCCTTCTCTCCCAGTAAGCTAAAAGTACGTACAACAACTGAAAATAGCAAATAGAGATGACAAGCGTGGCGGAGCTGAGCAGCACAGCCTGTACAGGCGCTCGCACTGCCAGCCCGCCCCGCCCCCGCCCCCCCCCCCCGCCCGCCCGCCGGTGGCGGGCCCGTCCTGGCTGCTCCCTTGCAGGAATTGGCACTGGACGAGAGCTGGGGCGGCGTGAACGTGACATACCTGAGCTGGGGCGGCGTGAACGTAACAAGGTGCACCCAGTTACCGCTGAGCCGCGAGGCAAAGGCAACATGTTCGTGTGGGGTGGGGGCAGGGTCGACCGGGCTCCCCACACCAGACATGGGTACCAAGGTGCACCGCATCCCCTGCTGCTCCTCTGATTTTCGGGGATTTGTCCCGGCCGGTTCCCCCAGTCTCTCGACTATGAGAGGAAAGACGTCCGGCGGGCCACATGCGATGGGATTGATGTGCGATTGGAGCAGCAACTACACGCCCGGGGCAGCTACGGCCGCCACCTCCTACCGGGCGGCGACCCCAATTTCTCGATGGGCCTTTATGAGACAACCTGGGACTCCACTCCGGCAGCCGGCGCGATGGGCCTGTTTGAGCGCCGACGCCGGAGTCGTGTGGCGATGTGCCTCGGGAGCTCCAGACGCAGCTCTCGGGGCACGCCAACCCAGGAGATTTAAAGGACCAATCAACAAATACAACCAACGATCAGCTGGAGAACTCGGACGCGATGGACAAGTAGTAGAGAGAGTTAAATAAATAAATAAATAACACGGACACCTCGCTACTGGGAGATGGGTGAAAAGGAGCCTGTCCCCGCCCTGCGGTCTTTGTGCAGGGTTCTTTGTGGGTGTGGGGTCGGCGACTAGCCGGGGTCGTCCTCCCGGGGGGGGGACTAGCACTATCTTAGCCGTCTTCCACGTGGTCCCTCGGGTCCCTGCTGCTCCTAATCTTTTCGTACATCCTCCTGCTGATCTCCGCAACATCCTGCTCCCTCTCTCGTCTCGCCCTGCGCGTCTGCTCTGCCTCCCCGCCGTCTGCCCTGCATCGTCTGGCCGCGCTCGCCGCAGTGGTTAAATGCGCAACATAGAATTAACAAACCTCCGTCTCACGACAACTGGGCACGGGACGAATGGAGAAAATGGCGCCAGCGCCCAGCGGGCACTGCGCGCGGACACTGACGGTGAACCTTCTTTCGTACTTGGCTAGGATTGAGAGCAGCCTCGCTCTCAATCCTAGAAGTCGAAGGGTTGTGAGCAGCACTCCTCGCACAATCGTAGCATCTCTGTGCGATTGTGAGCACCTACGCTCGCAATCCTACATCTTCTAGTACTAAGAGCAGCTTCCGCTCCCAAGGTGACTGGTGACGCCTACGACTACTACCAGCGCGCTCGCAATCCGAGCAAAGTCTAGGATTGCGAGCAGCACGGGCTCACAATCCTAGGACCTTGAGCACTTGAGCACTGGATAGGGTCGATTCCGCATGGTACGGGACCCCTCGATCGTCTCGCTCCCTCACTGGTGTGTTGATTTGGGGGGGGTCATAACAAACACGGTACAGGATCGAGGTGCACCCTGCAGAAGCAGTGTCGTCCCCCCTCTCCTCGACGGTGATGGCGGTGTGACCGATCGAGCTACAAGAGGAGCTTGTTCAGCAGGATCAGGGGTGGGCCGAGCAGTTCTCACTTCCTTCCTCAGTGGGTGAGCTTCAGACCTCGGGCCTGCCTCCCCCCTCGCCCTTCGGCTCGTGTGGGTTCGAACCACCGCCGGGATGGAAGCTTCCTGCTTCCATCTTGAGAGACAGCGCCGCGCATCACCTGTATCAGAGCGTCGGGGATGGTGGGCACTGTGTGCACTTTTGTTGTGGAGTAGGCCAGGGGGGGTGGGGGGGCGGTCAGGACCTAGCAACATGCCTCCGATTGCGAGCAGAGGCGCTCGCAATCCTACATCTTGTAGGACTGTGAGCGGCTGCGCCCACAAAATCGTACCAAAGATCACAGTCAGAGTTGGGAGCGCCCTCTGTGCGCTGCTAGCAGTCCTTGGATCTTTGGTACGATTGTGAGCGCAGCCGCTCACAGAGTCCTACAAGATGTAGGCTTGCGAGTGCTACGCAGAGCTTGCAATCGGAAGCATGTTGCTAGGATTGTGAGCTAAAGCTGCTCGCAACCTAGACTTTGCTCGGATTGTGAGCGCACTGGTAGTAGTCGTAGGCGTCACCAGTCACATTGTGAGCGAAGCTGCTCTTAGTCCTAGAAGATGTAGGATTGCGAGCGTAGGTGCTCACAATCGCACAGAGATGCTACGATTGCGAGGAGTGCTGCTCACAATCCTTCGACTTCTAGGATTGAGAGCGAGGCTGCGCTCTCAATCCTAGCCAAGTACAAAAGAAGGTTCAACGACACGACACGGACATGATGTTTGAAAAACAGCGGCCAGTGTCATTCATGCAAAAGGAATACATGCCTCATGCGTTCCAGCTCCGCAAAAGCCGCGCCACAACCTCAACAATGTTTTCAATCAGTTGCCTTCTACTTATGGCTTTTATTGAGACTCCAAAAACTTCGACTATAACCATTACGATGTGTAATATATCACACGCAAGACGAGCCGAGCCCATCCTGCTTTGTACTTGCTTACTACGTACGCACGTTCCTACTACCGCTTCAGCGGGCCGGCGCGAAGCTCCAACGCTCGATGCCGACCGAGGCGTCGAAACGGCAGGTGGCAGCCTTGAGCGGCAAGCCTCGGCTCTGGAGCCTCTTCTTTTGCTGATAGATCTTCAGCTGGAGGTGCAGTTCGAGCAGGCAGGCCTCCTGGCCGTGAAAGTAACGCACCTCGACGAGGCAGACGTCTCGCTCGCCGACGCTCGTCGCCTGTAGGGAAGGAGGAAGCTTCAGCGAAGTTCCTTAGACGTCTCGCTCTGCCGACGCTGCGTCGCAGCGGCGCGCTTGGCGGCGCGTGAGACGTGGTGCAAGTGCCGGAGGATGGGGAGGAGTAGACAGAGTAGTGCCGGCTCTTGGGGGAGGTGCAGTCTGGCACCTGCACGTGCCGAGGCGACCAGTGGCCGTGCAGCGCGTAGACGTACGAGTTGGTGCGCTCGCGGTGATGCACGGAGCTGCGCGAGACGCTCAGCTGCTGCGCGTCGATGTCGACCGACTCGACAGCGGTGACGGTGCGGCCGAGGTCGTCGAGCTCCAGCGCCACCTCGTACTCTTCGCCCAGCAGAACCTTGACGGTGTGCTGCTCCGAGAATGGGCGGCCCTCTTCCCGCTGGAAAAAGACGGGGTTGCCGTCAGAGTCTCGAATCGACATGGCCAGCTGAAAGAGCGGGCGGTGCTCCAGCGCCGCATGGTAGATGGAGCGGTCATGCAGCCCACGGAAGCAGCGCTCGAGAGTCACGGCCGCTGAACGTCGCCGCAGCTGCAGCTCCTCGCTCGATCGCTCTTCCGAAGCAGTGTGCATTCGTCCCGATCACAGGGGTTCCCGCGGATGGTTGTTCAGTGGGCGTCAGCCGTCCTCTCTGTGTACCTAGGTACCTGTGTATCGGGGGAGGAGTGGGGAAAAAACAAATCTTCCCTTTCACAGCACACTGGCACGACAAGGGCGCAGACTGGCGCGGACTGGCACACACACCGGCACACCACCGGAGCCGCCTAAGCGACTCCGTTAAGAACGGCAATGCACTCCGCACCGCGTGCACAATGCCGCTCTCCCCGCATGCTAGCTCGTTCACGTAAACGCACAACCCCGAGCTCGTTCACCGTCTGCCTGCCACGCCACAGCGGTGTGGAGGACGACGGACAAACGCTGCATTTGCAGGCCGTGCCCATTCTTGGTTGTATGTGACCTCGTCCACGCCAACGAGAGGTCCCGGGCCGTTGATGACGAGGCCTGCACCATCCAACGTTGGTTGATCGCTAGGTGGTGGCCCCGCCGCACGACGTGCAGATGACGTCCTCGACCGTGACATCTGCACCTCTG